AGGGATTATTGATCGAATACGCTTGTTCAAAAGAAAGATGAATAATAACGTTCTTGGAAGTGAAATCTGTAGTGTCATGCTCGTGTAAAGATTCTACTATGTATCACTAGCGACAATCTTGACAGGGTTCCCGTACAATGATTAAAGAATTCTCATGCAAAATTTTATGAAAATGACAAACGACACTAACAGATAAGTGTAGATGAAAGTTTAGGTCGACATGTGCGATGTTTCCAGTTACATATGTATCTCGCGATCGACAGTGTATTAGCTTCGCAATCGATAAATATTTTCAACTGATTTTATGGAAAAGCTTTGAATACCAAATTTCATTAATACAAAAAATGATACCTTAAGGAGGTAGATGCCTCTTTTCGGAACGCCTTTTGTATTTCCTTCAATCTGAACACCGTCTGACACGAGCATTTCATATATTGACTGCACGTACTTCAAGTTGGTGCCGAATGTATTGAGTTACGGGAAGCGCCAGTTATCATGGGTTATCCAAGTAACGGATAATCTAAATAGCGTGAAATAGCGACGACCCTAGGAGACTATGGATGATAAAAGGACGTTGTGCGGTTAGGAGGGACCTCGTAACGTGATACCCTTGTACAGAACACAGGAATAATAGCCAACGGTTAATTTGTTTAAAAGATTTTACTCTAATTAATAAAATGTTACCGGTACTATCTTATTTTGTGTTTGAAGCATATGGTAAATTTGATGCATCGCGCAACATGCATCCACGTGCATGCACGTAACAATAGGCGATCTCTGTTATTCAGAACACGCTGGAACCACAACCGCAAACCGCACCGCTATGGAATTAGCTAGTCAGCTGGAGCGCGCTATCCAGTTTGTGGCCGCATATTCATTAGGGATTCTTTACTATAAAGTTTATACTTTCACCTTTAATTAGTGCCGTATCAACCTATACATTACATCGCTGTCATATCTGTGGTATTTCTTCCTAGAAAACCCATTAGGGGGAGAGCTCTCCAACAAAAATACGTAATTGAATTAGATATTAAGGTTGAGGGCAGTGAAAGCATTTACTGTTTGGTTCTAGTCATGGTCTCCATATATTACATAAAGGCGCTCGCCCTCACGGTCGACCCCTAATTCCTGGCTTTAAGCACACAATGTGATATCAGAGTAATGGGGCGTGGCCAGGAGATGGTAAAGTTGACGATTCAGAGAAAGGCCCTCACCCTGCCATGCTCAGCTTCCGGAGCTAGCTGAGGCAGAAATGCTATTATCAGTGAACTTATAAAACACGGAAAAAGAGATCACAAACTCGTCACTGGCTCCTGTATCAATATTAATTGCTGTCAAGAGCACAGCATATCATACTTGGTCTTCTCCCTTCTTCTCCAATGACAGTGCCCCCCACCCCTGAAACTGGTATCTTTACTTGGACAAGTACATATTTTTTGAACTTACAGTAGTTTCTAATGGACATTTCAAAGTTTGAAGGTTGAAAGAACACATTGATAATGGATTTGGGTGATATGTTACACTTTGGTTCTAGTTGGTAACATATCGTGGTTTTAACCTTTGACATTTTCTTTTTCAGTCACTAATTTTACTTTGCATATATGCATATATCATTAATAGAAATAGTTTCCAGTAATATGAGGATGGGATTGCTGAACAGCTGTACCATTAGATGCACTTCTCAATATCACTTCCTGCTGCACCCTACCACAGCCTTATCAAAAGGACAAATCTAGGCCTGTAAAGGCAGGGCAATATGACCTATGACCCTGCCTTTGATGTCATCACACCCGCTAATGGGGATGCAATGTATATTGTTGTTTCTAGTTACCAGATAACAAGCTCTGTCAATGCTAGTCAGTAACATTACTGGTGTCAAACACAGGCTGATGGCATTGTTAAAAAAGTAATGTTCTGTCTACTGTTTCTGGTGTAAAAGGCCGGTTTTGGTATTGATAATTTTTCTTAATCCTTTTGTCATAGTTTGTATAATTTGTAGAGAGACAGAATACATGAATTAGTTTGTTGTCCTATCCATTCTTTGATTATTATCAGTGTATATATTTGGATGTTTTTGTTTACATGTTCTATGTATACATGTTTATTCACTTATTCAATTTTATCTTCTATGGTCTTTTTTTTAACTTTTGAACCTATCTTTTTTAAGTCTTTTGAGTAATTCTTAAACAGACTTCACATTGTGAATCAAATAATATTTGTAAAGTCATACTTTTAAATAAAAAAAGGAAAAATATCTTTTAACTTTATATTTTAGGAAAATATTTCTATAAACATGAAACTGCTTGTTAACCATGTGACAATCTATGATGAGGTAAGTTTCTAGGAAACTAAGATATAGACTATAAGCAAATTACATTAAATGCCTATGTAGGTTTGTCATGCACATGCACACAGAACTAGAAAGTATTAGCACTTGTAAACATTTATTTCTATAAAACTTATATCACAGCTCGGTACAATTAAACAAGGATACATTGTAAGTTATGAAAATGAATATCACACAGGATAATTATATAGTATATTACTTAAAGTATGTCTTTATCAACTGCGATCAGTTATAAATCCACTCTATAGATAGTGCCTTTTCATGCACACATTTTATATAACATTTTGTATAAAAAGCGTCAAAATCAAATAAAAAAAAATGTACACATTAACTCAACCGTGGTATTTTATCACAAATTGCTCCAACAAATTAATTACCTTGGAAATGTTATTTTCATGCATTAAAGTTCTGTAGGGGATTTCTTAGGTGAATATGTGAAAAGTGTTTTCAAATTTTTGTGACATGTGCATATTATACTGGACCAGCTGGGGATAAAAAATATATAATGACCAATTTCTGTCTATTAGTGTAATTTTATCCATAGATATTTTACAATCTTAATAACATTTATCAAACACAGCATTATTGTATTTATATAGAATTATCGGGGAGTTCAAAAATAATATCTTCTGTAATTATTTATGACTAATGAGGTACATTGCAATTACATTTGGCACCAAGACATAAACCTCTTATGTTAGACCAACTCCTTTAATATCAACAACAATATGTTAGACAATTTCCCCCTCATATAGGTCACTAAATGTTAAACAATCCAACTTTATATAGATCCCTAATGTTAGACATGATATCCCCCCTCATATAGGTCACTAAATGTTAAACAATCCCCTTTTATATAGATCCCTAATGTTAGACATGATATCTCCCCTCATATAGGTCACTAAATGTTAAACAATCCAACTTTATATAGATCCCTTATGTTAGACAAGATATCCCCCCTCATATAGGTCACTAAATGTTAGATATGGCAATTCCCCACCATACAGCCCCTAATGTTAGACAAGGCAATTCCCCTTCATACAGCCCCTAATATTAGACAAGGCAATTACCCTTCATACAGGCCCCTAATGTTAGACAAAGCTATTTTCCTTCATTCAGGCCCCTAATGTTAGACAAGACCATTCCCCTTCAAACTGTCTAATGTTAGACAAAGCTATTCCCCTTCATACAGGCTCATAATGCTAGACAAGGCAATTCCCCTTCATACAGGCTCATAATGCTAGACAAGACAATTCCCCTTCATACAGGCCCCTAATGTTGGACAAGGCAATTCCCCTTCATACAGGCTCCTAATGTTGGACAAGACCATTCCCCTTCAAACTGTCTAATGTTAGACAAAGCTATTCCCCTTCATACAGGCCCCTAATGTTGGACAAGGCAATTCCCCTTCATACAGGCTCCTAATGTTAGACAAGGCAATTCCCCTTCATTCAGGCCCCTAATGTTAGACAAGGCGATTTCCCTTCATACAGGCCCCTAATGTTAGACAAAGCTATTTCCCTTCATTCAGGCCCCTAATGTTGGACAAGGCAATTCCCCTTCATACAGGCCCCTTATGTTAAACAAGGCAATTCCCCTTCATTCAGGCCCCTAATGTTGGACAAGGCAATTCCCCTTCATACAGGCTCCTAATGTTGGACAAGGCAATTTCCCTTCATTCAGGCCCCTAATGTTAGACAAGGCAATTCCCCTTCATACAGGCCCCTAATGTTGGACAAGGCAATTCCCCTTCATACAGGCTCCTAATGTTGGACAAGGCAATTGCACTTCATTCAGGCCCCTAATGTTGGACAAGGCAATTCCCCTTCATACAGGCCCCTAATGTTGGACAAGGCAATTCCCCTTCATTCAGGCCCCTAATGTTGGACAAGGCAATTCCCCTTCATACAGGCTCCTAAATGTTAAGCAAAACAGCATGACATTCCCTTCTTCAAACAGATACCTAAAGATAGCCAAGACAATCCCCTTCATATAAGCACCTTCATCATTTCTGAAGATACAGCAATTGCCTGAAGTGTCAAATGGAGGACTATGTGAAAAAATGAAGAAAAACCTCAAGATTGCATCATCAGTCTCACATCAGGGAGAAGACAGAAAATTCTTCATATTTTTTGACAATACATTTAATTTTTGTCATTTCTATATGATTCATGCATATTTATTTAGTACTTTCAATTAAAATCTTCATGCAAATGACATGACTTTTGACAACATTATAAACCGCTTGTCACATTATTGGTATGTATGCTTAGTACACTAGGAACACCACTCTGTTAGGGTTGATGAGTAAACGGCAGGCACAGCTACCAATCCAAAATTTTAACATTGGAAACAGCAATCCACATCATTTCAATTTAAGCAATATGTATAAATGGCAAGATTACAATAGTTAGCCCACAAATATGTTTTTCCTGAAATCTTTAGTTGGCCATAATTTGCATAACTAAGCATGCATTACTTGTAATAAATACAGACAGTATGATGAATAAACCTCATTCATTTTTACAAAACATTTGAATTTCTTCAACCTAACTGATCACTGGTCTTGGATAAAACGCCCATTGAGGCATACCAAAATGATAGAACCAGAGCAAAACCATATTTCAGAACTATGATAATCTGATTCCATAAGTTTCTTGTCTGTCAAATTATATTGTGAACAACATAAGATCATGCAAATTCACAAGAAAGAATAAAAAAGCCAAATAAACATTTCAAGATTAGCATCTTGTATTACAGATTTCGCTGTGAGTAATGAAGCAGGCCAACTTTGAAGATTCTCTTCAAAAATGTCCCATTGTCTTCTGATTAGCGAGGTTAACACATCGTTTTAGGTAAATATCAACACCTGAGCTCTGTGCAGACTGACATCGTGAACGTCCCGCACGTTTTGGCGAGTCAAGGCTCTACTGTACTTGTGACACTCCACTATCCTTGGCACCAATAGAAACTCCCCTAGGTTCTATTTTCAACATCACAGTACTATTATCATCACAACTTTGGCTCCTTGTTGCAACTAGTTTCCCACGTCTAAATTTGTCTATAGGTTTGTATTGCATTTTATTGTTGTTCTCTTTGAGAACATTGCTAAGCTTATTACTGTCCCTGGAAATTGTCTCCATCTGCTCCTCCATAGCTGTTGCCATACCTTCCTCAACCTCCCTGTGAGAATCTGGGGTGACCTGCGAGGGGGAATGATCGGAGGACAGGGATGACAAGTTCTGACCATTCATAGCCTTTACTTTGTCCATATCAGTCTTATCTCTCCAGCACGAGGCACTAGAATATGTGGGGTTCTTCCTCGTTGATCCTGTTTGACCTTTTACACACAGACCATCCCCTGGTTCCTCACTAGTCAGGTACGCACGACTAGCAGGTATGCTGACCTTTCGCTGCAGCGACTGTCCAAGGCGTACTCTACTGTCCTGTTTGAAGGATGTACCCTGAGGATTGTGGACCTTTGCATACCTCTGCATGTCTTTGACCTTGTTACCTGAAGGTTTAGCAGGATTTTTAAGAGGAGCCACCACTGTGTCCGACCTGGAAATCTGTAACTAAAATTACAAAAACAAAAATCAGACTACTCTTTCCTACCAGGTAAAATACCATATTGATCTTGAAATTATTATTTTTACAAATCATAGAAAATTGTATAATGTGTAACACTTAAAAGTTACTAAATAAATAAATAGTATCGCCATAAAGATTTCTAGTCATTCAGTTTAACAATAATGTAAAAACAATATTAAAGATTCGAAAAATTCATTTTAGATTTTAGAATGATTTCCCCTGTCAAGGTGAAAATGTTTATGTAGAGAAGGAAAAAAATCTTTTCATGAATATCAATAATCTCCTTCATTTGGATCAGTAGTGAAAAATCTAAACCTGTGAAAAACTAATGGCTAGAAAAAGGGAAATATATTTTAATACACAGAGACTTTATTATCTTAAAAAAAAAATATTGTTAGAATCTAATAACAAGCAAAGGTTTGAACTCCAAGGTAATAAAACATTACTGATAAGTAAATAGTTTATATAATACAGTGAACCAGGAACTTTTATTCGATGAGATATGTAAATAGTGTAGCATTTGGTTGACTGTCAGCAACAGGACTAAAACCAGCTTTTCTGTTAGATCTACCAACAGATGTTCAACAGTGATAGTTAAGGACCATCATTTTTCTCTAAAATATTTCCTACACTGACACATTCCCCTTTACAAACATTTCCATGTTAAGGTCCATCAGTGTATTACTAAAATATTTCCTACACTGACACATTCCCCTTTACAAACATTTCCATGTTAAGGTCCATCAGTGTATTACTAAAATATTTCCTAAACTGACACATTCCCCTTTACAAACACTACCATGTTAAGGTCCTTCAGTGTATTTCTAAAATATTTCCTACACTGACACATTCCTGTTTACAAACATTTCCATGTTAAGGTCCTTCAGTGTATTACTAAAATATTTCCTACACTGACACATTCCTGTTTACAAACATTTCCATGTTAAGGTCCATCAGTGTATTACTAAAATATTTCCTACACTGACACATTCCCCTTTACAAACATTTCCATGTTAAGGTCCTTCAGTGTATTACTAAAATATTTCCTACACTGACACATTCCTGTTTACAAACATTTCCATGTTAAGGTCCATCAGTGTATTACTAAAATATTTCCTACACTGACACATTCCCCTTTACAAACATTTCCATGTTAAGGTCCATCAGTGTATTACTAAAATATTTCCTACACTGACACATTCCCCTTTACAAACATTTCCATGTTAAGGTCCATCAGTGTATTACTAAAATATTTCCTACACTGACACATTCCCCTTTACAAACATTTCCATGTTAAGGTCCATCAGTGTATTACTAAAATATTTCCTAAACTGACACATTCCCCTTTACAAACACTACCATGTTAAGGTCCTTCAGTGTATTTCTAAAATATTTCCTACACTGACACATTCCTGTTTACAAACATTTCCATGTTAAGGTCCTTCAGTGTATTACTAAAATATTTCCTACACTGACACATTCCTGTTTACAAACATTTCCATGTTAAGGTCCATCAGTGTATTACTAAAATATTTCCTACACTGACACATTCCCCTTTACAAACATTTCCATGTTAAGGTCCTTCAGTGTATTACTAAAATATTTCCTACACTGACACATTCCTGTTTACAAACATTTCCATGTTAAGGTCCATCAGTGTATTACTAAAATATTTCCTACACTGACACATTCCCCTTTACAAACACTACCATGTTAAGGTCCTTCAGTGTATTTCTAAAATATTTCCTACACTGACACATTCCCCTTTACAAACACTACCATGTTAAGGTCCATCAGTGTATTACTAAAATATTTCCTACACTGACACATTCCCCTTTACAAACACTACCATGTTAAGGTCCATCACTGTATCTCTGAAATATTTCCTACACTGACACATTCCTGTTTACAAACACTACCATGTTAAGGTCCATCACTGTATCTCTGAAATATTTCCTACACTGACACATTCCTGTTTACAAACACTACCATGTTAAGGTCCATCACTGTATCTCTGAAATATTTCCTACACTGACACATTCCTGTTTACAAACACTACCATGTTAAGGTCCATCACTGTATCTCTGAAATATTTCCTACACTGAAATATTCCCTAAATAAGCATTTCCAAATCTCTATGTTAGCATCACACTAGTCATTGTTATAAGGCACTTATCAGTATGTTTATATGTAAAGGAGAGAAAAGAACTTTAACAGAAATGAATACTGCAGCATTTTACAGACATTTGAAACCACTCGCATGTTAGACTTATACATTTATAAAACAATAGAACATAAAACATCAGATACAATTTTCTTATATAATTTTTTGACCATCAACCTGCATTACCTTGCAAAATGTCACAAATAATTTGCAGAGTATTTGACCCTACCATTACTTATAACACTGGGGATATAAAACAGAAGCCAAACCTAAAGATATAAGATATCTATCTGGCAAGTCTTTGTAATGCCTCAGTGTGTTTATATGTGAAATCTAAGGATGATAGAACTGTATGTAAAAGAAGAGTAAGTTGATGGTTCTTAACATAGAATGACACTTTAAAACATCAGAATGACATTACAATACATCTGCTGGCAAATCTACCAGAAGAGCTGGTTTTAGTTGTGTTGATAACAGACAGATATTCAGTTCATATGTCCTGGCTTTAGATACACTACTCTTCAAATTTGCATATGTATTGACTGAAAAAAAAAACAGCACAATTTTCTCTCTTAAACTTCAAAACTACATTTCTTCATAGAAGATCAATATTTAAACCTGTATCAATATTTCTATCCAGGAGGCTTGACATGAAAGAGCAATAAAAGTGGTATGTCTGTATATTTTAGCAAACTGTATGCATAAATTATAAATCATCATCATATAGCAGATCGCTAAACTTGAAGTCGTGAATTTTAGTAAAATGAGGGAGAATTGTCATGATTGTGAAAAAAAATTCATCAGCTTAGGAAATTGCAAGGAATGGACAACTTAAAGGCATGTCACAATTAAATGTGAAAAAATTATCTTGTCGTTGAAAGTGTGGACAGCAAAACATTTTGTGTACATAAATGCCTAGATAAGTAGATATTCTAAAACAATTTTTGTTTCATAAAAAACATCAACAAGAAAAACTTCAAAATTTTCCTTTAAGTAATTCTATATTATCTGCTGAGAGAGTTGGTTTATTGATGAAAAAAAATCACAACCTTCCTGTATAATTCTACTGACCTGTATCAATAATAGTAATGCAGGATTGTAAATCCATGATGTGAAAAAAATGTTCAGTTACTTAAGGACAAATCTGTGGTGTTATCATTTCTTACTGTGATGGATGTCTGGAACAGGTTTGAATTCAATATCAGTTTGATATGACCAAAACGTTTAACATTAGCTTAGTGTTTGTAGGTTGTGTTCAAAACACATTCTTGTAATACAGAAGTTAAACCATAATGAAAATACTACAGAGTACAGATACTACAGAGCTCTAGCTATTAAAAGGATAATCCTACAGCATACAGCAGACAGAATATACAGTGGGGCCTCATTCATCCAGCATGTCCCTCCACCAGTTAGTAATTCAGAGGATACAGGGCCTGTTTTCTGAACAAGATACCAAAGACATACAATTGTCTCAAAATAATAATACTGGAAATGAGGGAGGCTGGATAACAAGGAATGAGGGAGGCTGGATAACAAGGAATGAGGGTGGCTGGATAACAAGGAATGAGGGAGGCTGGATAACAAGGAATGAGGGTGGCTGGATTACTAGGAATGAGGGAGGCTGGATTACTAGGAATGAGAGTGACTGGATTACTGGGAATGAGGGAGGCTGACTTACTAGGAGTGAGGGATGCTGGATTACTAGGAATGAGGGAGGCTGGATTACTAGGAATGAGGGTGGCTAGATTACCAGGAATGAGGGTGACTGGATTACTAGGAATGAGGATGACTGGATTACTAGGAATGAGGGTGACTGGATTACTAGGAATAAGGGTGGCTGGATTACTGGAAATGAGGGTGACTGGATTACTAGGAATGAGGGAGGCTGGATTATAAGGAATGAGGGTGACTGGATTACTGGGAATGAGGGAGGCTGGATTACTAGGAATGAGGGAGGCTGACTTACTAGGAATAAGGGTGGCTGGATTACTAGGAATGAGGGTGGCTAGATTACTAGGAATGAGGGTGGCTGGATTACTAGGAATGAGGGTGACTGGATTACTAGGAATGAGGGAGGCTGGATTACAAGGAATGAGGGAGGCTGGATTACTAGGAATGAGGGAGGCTGGATTACTAGGAATGAGGGATGCTGGATTACTAGGAATGAGGGAGGCTGGATTACTAGAAATTAGGGTGGCTGGATTACTAGGAATGAGGGTGGCTGGATTACTAGGAATGAGAGTGGCTGGATTACTAGGAATGAGGGTGACTTGATTACTAGGAATGAGGGATGCTGGATTACTAGGAATGAGGGTGACTTGATTACTAGGAATGAGGGAGGCTGGATTACTAGGAATGAGGGTGGCTAGATTTCTAGGAATGAGGGAGGCTGGATTACTAGGAATGAGGGAGGCTGACTTACTAGGAATGAGGGTGGTTAGATTACTAGGAATGAGGGTGACTAGATTACTAGGAATGAAATGGCTGGATTACTAGGAATGAGAGTGACTGGATTACTGGGAATGAGGGTGGCTAGATTACTAGGAATGAGAGAGGCTGGATTACTGGAAATGAGGGTGACTGGATTACTAGGAATGAGAGTGACTGGATTACTTGGAATGAGGGAGGCTGGATTACTTCGAATGAGGGTGACTGGATTACTAGGAATGAGAGTGACTGGATTACTGGGAATGAGGGTGACTGGATTACTAGGAATATGGGTGGCTGGATAACTAGGAATGTGGGTGGCTGGATTACTAGGAATGAGGGTGACTGGATTACTGGGAATGAGGGTGGCTAGATTACTAGGAATGAGGGTAGCTGAATTACAGAGTTGCAAATGTATAGATCTATAATATTATATATACTGATTATAAAGAGGGGAATTATTCTGGTGTTCAGACACTTATAAATACTAAAGAAAACAAACAGATCTGAAATTCTGGTATGAACATCTGAAAACTCTGCTTCACACATAATTGATGTTTTTATTTTAATTGGAATACAGTGTAAATATGTGATATTGTCATTACTTCATTGTGACTTGTACAGCAAAACAATCATTATCTAGACAATGCCATTCAAAAGATAATATTAAAACCATATGGTATGATTATCAAATTTACTACAGTGAGACACCACAACTCTAGTCTTTTAGTTCTTCAATGGAAGTGGTATAATATCTTAAGAAGTTGGACTGTTAGGACTTTGATCAGGCTGTGCAGCATTCCTTGTAAGCTATTCACTTAACATATTGCATTGCCCATCTGTTCTGAATATACTACTACTTGGCCTACAAAATAATTCATGGCCTTTATCCACACTTTGTCATTACTGAAAGCTGACAGCCAAATATCATTGCACAAAAACCAAAAGTTTTTAAAGATATCATAAAGAACATGAGATCATATGATCAGTTATCAGTTCTTTTCCTCTACTTTCCTCTTGTATTTATTTGCTGTTAAATATTTGTGGTAATGCGTGCATTGACAGGAATTAATCATAACTGAAACACCAATAAACAATAGAAACCTATATGTGATTGAAACACCAATAAACAATAGAAACCTATATGTGATTGAAACACCAATAAACAATAGAAACCTATATGTGATTGAAACACCAATAAACAATAGAAACCTATATGTGATTGAAACACCAATAAACAATAGAAACCTATATGTGAATGAAACACCAATAAACAATAGAAACCTATATGTGATTGAAACACCAATAAACAATAGAAACCTATATGTGATTGAAACACCAATAAACAATAGAAACCTATATGTGATTGAAACACCAATAAACAATAGAAACCTATATGTGATTGAAACACCAATAAACAATAGAAACCTATATGTGATTGAAACACCAATAAACAATAGAAACCTATATGTGATTGGAACACCAATAAACAATAGAAACCTATATGTGATTGAAACACCAATAAACAATAGAAACCTATATGTGATTGAAACACCAATAAACAATAGAAACCTATATGTGAATGAAACACCAATAAACAATAGAAACCTATATGTGATTGAAACACCAATAAACAATAGAAACCTATATGTGATTGAAACACCAATAAACAATAGAAACCTATATGTGATTGAAACACCAATAAACAATAGAAACCTATATGTGAAATAATAAAAAATATTTTTTCTAGAGCATAATAATATTAGAACACTACATATACATTTCTTGTAAATATCATTCTATAAATAACGATAATATATAAAATTTTACAAGTGGATATTCATAGGATGTGCAGGGTTTATAGAAGGAAAGTTGGGAATAGATAAGACATTTTAGTTGGCCAAATGGTACAAAATATTACAAACCTTCCGTCGGCGAATAAAGCTAGAAATCTTGCGGTTCTGTGGACGGGCAAACAAATCAAAGCATAAAGATAGACAAAAAAGTGACATTTTCACTTGTTACCCTTGTATTATAGTGTTTTGGCTATGCATCATGCAAAGTTATATTTATTCTCACATGAACTTTAAATCCAATTTCATTTTTTAAAAAAAAATAAATAAAAGTCAACAAAAGATATCAAAACTTTCCAGATTTCAGAAATAAAGTGGCATGTGCAGTGTCCGACTGATTAGCAACTAATTACTGATCTGAGATAAGCCTTTTATACTCAAGTGAAAGAACCGAAGGTGAAAAAATAATATCACTTTAAAATGGCAGGATATCATTACACTGAAATGGAGTGATTTGATATTAAAAATTTGTTCATTTTTGTCTCATTTTCCTGACAGATAAAATAATTCCTGTGGGTCTTTAAGCTGGCTTTTTTTCTTAATTGAATTTACACACTCCAATTTCATCAGCACATAACGGGTCTCTATCAGACATTTTGTCAGTATCTGCCAACAACAGTTTATAGAATATCTGTTGGGGACAGCTGTGAGTGGTACTGCCACAGCCAAGTGGGTCTCCTGATAAGCCTCCCTATCCCACACACCTGTAGGACAGAGCTACCTGTATCGCTAATTACCAACTATTCAAAATAATTGTCTCTGTTTCAGGAAATGAGTAGATTTCCTATAATTTCCTGAACAGCATCATGCCAATTCTCTGAAGTATTGTATTGCGGAAGTGATTTTAGCTTGTGTTGTAATAGTTTTGTCTGAGATTATCAGGGTTTTTGTTAATTACTTGGTCATTATGTGGTACAGACTAGGTGTTATCTAGTGTATTGACCATATCCTAACTATAAATATATTACTATACCACTTCTTTACTTCTCAGATTCTGCAATACAAATTTGATGGTTTTTGAGCAAGGAACCTGCCCCTGTCAGCAACCAAGGAGAAATTGACTATTAGTTTTCTTCTCTTAATTCCCACTACAGTCAGTCAATTTTGGTCATATTGTTTTTACGAAAATTCTAATAATAAATTCTAAAAGTTAAAAGAAATAAATTGACAATAGCTAAATCAAAAGATTACCGACATGTTTTCAATATACAACTTCATTTACATACCATATTACAATTCTTTATCAGTATATATTAAAGTGTAACACTATATGCCTATATATGAACCTCAGAGACACGAAAAACATTCTTTTAAAGGACTTTGGGATAATTCATTTCTTTATTAACTGTAATCTATTAATCAATATATGTTCTAAAGTATATGTTCTATCCTGATAAAGTTTACAAACACAACAGGAATATGCTTGTTTTGGAAGACACCATTCAAAATGTTTTCAAATGTTGGTAGTTACATCTGTACAACAGGAAATGTCAAGGTCAGTCATCATCTGTACAACAGGAAATGTCAAGGTCAGTGATCATCTGTACAACAGGAAATGTCAAGGTCGGTGATCATCTGTACAACAGGAAATGTCAAAGTCGGTGATCATCTGTACAACAGGAGATGTCAAGGTCAGTCATCATCTGTACAACAGGAAATGTCAAGGTCAGTCATCATCTGTACAACAGGAAATGTCAAGGTCAGTCATCATCTGTACAACAGGAAATGTCAAGGTCAGTCATCATCTGTACAACAGGAAATGTCAAGGTCAGTCATCATCTGTACAACAGGAAATGTCAAGGTCAGTCATCATCTGTACAACAGGAAATGTCAAGGTCGGTGATCATCTGTACAACAGGAAATGTCAAGGTCGGTGATCATCTGTACAACAGGAAATGTCAAGGTCGGTGATCATCTGTACAACAGGAAATGTCAAGGTCGGTGATCATCTGTACAACAGGAAATGTCAAAGTCGGTGATCATCTGTACAACAGGAAATGTCAAGGTCAGTGATCATCTGTACAACAGGAAATGTCAAGGTCAGTGATCATCTGTACAACAGGAAATGTCAAGGTCAGTCATCATCTGTACAACAGGAAATGTCAAGGTCAGTGATCATCTGTACAACAGACAGTGTCAAGGTCAGTGATCATCTGTACAACAGGAAATGTCAAGGTCAGTGATCATCTGTACAACAGACAGTGTCAAGGTCTGTACAACAGACAGTGTCAAGGTCAGTGATTGTACAAAAAGGAAATATCAAGGTAAGTGATTGTCTGTACAACAGCAGGTGCCTGTTTTATCAACAAGAGTAGATCAGGTATATGCTTAACCATTAAAGGTGTTGATGATTTCTATGACGTTCCTTACGAGGAGTTGATCAATTTTTCATGGCCAGGTTATTCTGTTATTGACCCCATAACACCTATATACTAAATTTTATTTCCTACTTGACAATCTACACAGGCTTCAAACATCTAAATAATTACTTAACCATTTTGTAGATCAACTTCACGGATAGGTGACTGCTGTGCTGATAACATCATACTTATTTTAAGTGGATGAAATATTCATGTGGAAGAGCAATGTGTGTGAAAATGATGTGATTATCTTTTAGCATACTCTGTTTGGCATGTCAAATGATCTATCAGTTCCAATGGGCTTTGGGTGTGTGTCTCACGCTATTTAAATGAAACATTATATAAGTCATTGAGCAAATCAATGCTTAAAAAGAGCAGATTTTTAATAAGCTCTTTTGCCTGTACAAATTGACAATTTAACGCTTGTGTAAATGGAGAACAATCTGTTACAATGTTGTCACATGTCTTGATTTTAATCTTTAAACATTATTTTGGAAAAAAAGGTTTATATGTATTTTTTAAAATCAGGTCACTTCGGGAAAAGGAAACAAATACAATCCCTCATTATTGTTTTAAAGTTTTTCAAACTCAACAACAAATCAATTATTTCAATATTTCCTAAAATCATTTTCTCACACCTTGACTTAAGTTTGTGCAAAATGTGAGATAAAGGATCAATTTGGTAGAACTACTGAAAAGCTTTTTTTCAGAAAAAAAGGGGAAAAAATTGTATTATTTCAAGCAATTTGATTCATTGAACATGTGCTTTAGACAGGAAATCTTCTTCTGGTAATTTTCAACTTGAAGATCAGAAAATCAACACCACATACTGAATGAACTTTCAAATCAAAATGGTTAAGGCAGAATACTGAATATCACTTACCCCAAAATTAGCCTCATTGTTCTTGTTTGGAATACTGTTCGTTGACTGAGGAGGTTTGATGTAGTTTTTGGTCCTGGATGATCGAGTGTCATCAGAAGTTTCAGGTGCAGCCCAACTTCGAGCATAATCAGCTAAAGAACTTTCAGAGGCACGCGTCATTAACACTGTATAATTACTGGCAGCCCGCTCAAATTGTGATAGGTTGATAACTGTTGTCTCACTATGGCGCCCAGACCGCAAGGAAGGACTGTCCATAAGACGTCCGTCAGGGAATTTATGATGAAAGTTGTTGCCTCCTCGGCTATAGATTGAGTTATCTATGAACTGTAATCTACTTGGTCCTTCTTCTGGGTAAGATCTACCTGTGTAAGATGATTCAAACATTCTAATCACCCCTACATCTGTAGCGGACTTCCCTTGAATGAGAAACTTTTCTGGAGATCTGTTGTTACTTTTAGATCTTATATGGTCAATTTCAGTAAAATCAATCTGTTTACTAGTAAAGTTTGTATTTTCTCTTGGAAGCATAAAGCTATCTGCTGGAGTTCGACTGACTTGTACAACAGAAGGGGGATGTTTCATCCCACAAGTTTTTTGACGATCATAATTGAGATATAGTTTGGTCATATCTTCCCTGTTGTAAGTCTTCTGTATTTTGGCACGGAATTCACGGTTCTCTCGTGCCTCCTGACTTTCTGACAATTCATTTGGCACCGTTTGTTCACTGTCCACCTTTGTGGGTGCAGGACTGACATATTCCTGAGCAGCGCTCTCGGACTCCGAGCTGCTGAAAGGTATAGGTGATGTTGCCACATCCCGAACATGGTGGGAGGCCATCTGTGGCTCTTCTCTGTGGCTGTTTAAGGAAACCTGAACCACCAGTCTGGTAGATTGTGCACTCACTGGTACATCAGTAACCAGTTCTGCGTCCTCGTCCTCCTGCATGGCTATAAACAAACACAATATAAATTGTAAATACAGTCGAAACTTGTTATCTCAAAATTCAAGAAACCATGGAAAATATTTATACTTATCTGAATTTTAACTTAAAAAAGTGTCCAAATAAGGTGAGATTTAAAATTTGTTGATTACTGTTGAACAAAGCAAGCTCTACAATAGCACAGTTAATTTTTCAACCTGTTGTTCGAAAGGGCTGTAAGTAATTAGAGACAAACAGATTTCTACTTTCTCATTTGATTTTTATTTATCCAAATAACAAAACACAATAACAATAGTGATCAATCACTCACCTTGTTCTGTCTGTAGATTATATATTTTACAGAATGTGAAAATAAAAACACAAATGAAAATTTACTTTTGTTATGCTACTAGAAACGATGTTTGTTGTTACAGATTATGTTAACATGACTCAGAATAAGCATATGAAATATGAAATGGTAGAAATCTTTATCAGTGTCAACCTGTATGTTTCTGTCCTACCACCTTAAAAAAGAGACTTTTTTTGTTCATTAAAGATGCACACTCAACCCAGCCCACTACACACCTTTCTGGTACATCATGGTGATATTATTTCTTTTCATGTCTTGTGTAAACAAATTACTTGGTTACTATACAGGTGAGTTACTGTTGCAGTATGGAGACAACTTTTAATTTGACAATTAAACTGGTAATCATTTGTCACTGGTCAATAAATATGCTGTATATTCAGCTAAGTAATACGCACAAGTAACTTTTGATTTTTGACATTTGCATATGCACTGATCGAACACTTTAGAAGATGTGTCGATGTTTTGATGAAATTTATTTTGAGAAAACGAAGGACTTTCCACTTGATTTGCAATTGAAGGGATCGAAAAATCACTTTGACTCAAGTAAAATTTTAACTGAAAGATATTTGAGTCATCCAAACTAAAATTAAAAGATGAAGAAGAAAAAAAAACAGAGCTAAGAAATTATTTCTTCTCAAACAGAATTTCGACTCAAGCGATTTTGAGACAAATTTCAACTGTATGCATCATTTCGAAAGTGATGTTGAATTCATGAACAGCAAGTTGTGTGCTGTTATGTTTTTCTAAGTTCAGAGATATGCAACTGCACTGAATATTTACAAAAAAATTAAACGTGATGCCCTTAATCAAATCATGAGAAATTCTATAGTTGTCATAATGATCTCATTGCAGAATATTTGATTTCTTTGTGCGATATAAAGCTAGATGTGCTCACCATGGTTCTGTTTTTCTTTACTGTGTTCACATTTTGGAATGTTACATTATTTACTTAGCGTGACCAAGATTTACATGGCAGGTGTAACTATTGAAGCAGAAGATGCTTACTCTTCTGGAACACTTGTTCTTATTCTCCATGTACTTTTTCAGTAAACTGCATGAAATCTTTCTTTTGCTTTAAAGTTAAGATTCTGTAAACATGCTGATATATTCTTTGTTGCTTTTCTAAAACTCCACAAGAGAGTGCTACAAGAATTAAGACATGAAACTTTGAAAGCAGAACACTTTTTGTCAATTTGGAGGAAAAAGGGGGTAAGCCATATTACATGGTGACTGTGATGAAAAGAGTTAAATCTGAGAGGCTGAATATTGTTCTGGTAGTTCAGTGAGGTAAACGGATAGGATTTCAGTGCACCTTACTCTTTCCCAGAAAAACAGACTTGTTAGGCTAGAAATGTTAATTTTGATATACAGGGACAAACAGAATGTGTGATAAGCAAAACAAACCACTATCCATCATTATCCATGAATTGACCTGGGTTACAATATGTAATTGGTGGGTGTAGAAACAGTTACGTAATCATAATCCTTGAAAGTTTTAGAATGTGAATTAAGACATTATCAAATCAGAAACTATCTACAAAGTCTCATAGAATAAGAATATGACAAGCATGTGGTAATTGGTATCATCACAACCTGTTCCTAATAAAAACAAATGCACTCAATATTAATGCAATTTATGTTAGCTATACAATCTTTGTATTTTTCTCCATTTGAAATCTTCCATTTGATAATTATTAAGACTAAAAGCATGTGAACTGAACAAGGATAATATTTATGCAATTCATTCAAAAAAGTTATTCATCTTGAAATTGTATTTTTTTTATATAGTGAATTAGATATTTGAAGTGATATAAGGCCGTATCAAAACTTACGTTCTCGAGGAATATCTGGTGTCGGTGCATAAAATTCTGCTAGGCTGAGCTTTGTTTTGTCCCTGTCAATTGTGGTCATGTCCCGGCGAATATTCAGACTGGGCAACAACCCTCCAACCTCATCTGTGTTCTCTATACACAGGTCCTGACAAAAAATAAAGTTCTAAAATAACCACCATGGTAAAGTTTTACATGTGTCATCTCTGGCCTCTGTACATAGGTTCTGTAGAAAGGTACAAATTTAAGTTTTACAAGTACCAACCAAGATTCTATACAAACGTTCAGTGTGTAAAATCAGTTTTAAAAGTAGCATCACTGGCCTCGGTATACAGGTATGAAGGGGAGATTGTAGCATATCTGAGACTGAAGGATATGCTCTACAGAATAATTTCTGATTTTCATAAAAAGGAAATCTCGGGAACGCAGTAACTTACTGGCATTCTAGTGCAGAATTCAAATGTTCAAGTTCTGAAAATTTTGTAAATGATATAAATTTTCTTTTATCAATTCTACTGATTTAACTGAATGTCTATAAACAGTAAATTTCTGTAAAACATGGTAGTCATTCAGTTTACAAAAAAAAATATTCAAATTGATGTAGTACATGTAGTAAAGAAATCATAAAATCTGCATTGTCCCAACCCAATATACCTGTTGATTGTTTACAGGTGTGACAGCTGATTCCAAATCGTCAAAGTCTGCCAAGTCTTCCTCTAAACGATCCAAACAAATAGAATCGGAACACTCGGATTTGTCAAAACTGGCTTGCTCTACAAATTCTGTAAATACAAATATTCACAGATAATTTAAAAGTTTTGAATGAAGAGAATACTATGTGGTGTAGACATATATGAAGGCAGGATAAAGGTGAGGCTTTCCAAGGAGTAAGACAAACCTTTAGGATACTTCTATATCTAAACATATCAATGTAAACGTTCTTTAAATTACATCTACGGTGGACCAAACTTACAGCTTGTATCAATCACTCATGTTAGATGGAGTTGAAGCAGGATCTAACTTGGGAGGAGACCAGACTACTGGGGAAAAGTCGTGTGGACAGGCAGATGATTCCATACATGTACACTACCACATCTTGTTGGGGAATAACGTAGGTAAAAGGTGAGTGTGCTACTACTGCAGCACCTAACCACCAAAATAGTTCAATACCAAGATATCACAGAAGTTGATGAAGGTTACAACAGGACACTATTTCTTACAGCACTGTACCTGGTGCTTATTCAGACAGGTAACCATTACATACATTACACACCTGGTGAGCTAGTGCTTACTTCAGACAGGTAACCATTACATAAAATACAATATAAACCTGGTGAGCTAGTGCTTACTGAAGACAGGTAACCATTATATACATTACACACCTGGTGAGCTAGTGCTGACTTCAGAAAGGTAACCATTACATAAATTACACACCTGGTGAACTAGTGCTTACTGAAGAGAGGTGACCACTATATACATTTCACACCTGGTGAGCTAGTGCTGACTTCAGACAGGTAACCATTACATAAAATACAATATACACCTGGTGAGCAAGTGCTTACTTTAGACAGGTAACCATTACATACATTACACACCTGGTGAGCTAGTGCTTACTGAAGACACCTGGTGAGATAGGTGACCATTACATACCACACAATATACACCTGGTGAGCTAGTGCTTACTGAAGACACCTGGTGAGATAGGTGACCATTACATACCACACAATATACACCTGGTGAGCTAGTGCTTACTGCAGACAAGTGACCGAATGATAAACCTACCAGGTGAACCGGTTATGCTGACCGCATGCCACGCTCCACACGTAACAAACTGTACTGAGTGACTCCTCAAGTTCACACAATGTGGTTCCCAAACACGGTGACTGGACACTTTCGCTGGACAGATTGTGTGACTGTTTTTACCCCACATATACAGACGTCCATTGTCTATAAGAAAAAAAACAAAAAACAAAAAATGAAGTAGTTGTTCTTCCATGGAAACATATTCTATAAATACTTTGATATTTCCAGGCCTCTGAAGTAAACCCGAGGATGTTACACTTTGATCCATGTCTCCCATCAGGTCATTTAAATTGTCCATATCTTTTTCTGTTGACATGTCTCAGAAATGTCACATCCCAGGACACATCTGGAATTTTCTATTACACATAGATCATTTCCCACCAATCCCCCTTCTGGGGAACATCAGCTTTTTTCATTACCTTATGTTTCCATGTGTAAGCCACTTAAAAAGCTGAACAGGTAAACAAAATGTGATTAGGGCAATCAAAGCTAGGACACAAATTCCATGGATGTGTACTGTTGATCTTATTCAGAAACTTTCATCAAACAAGGAATTTTGCTAGTTGAGCAAGCATGTTTCATGAAATCAAAATGAAAGTCAAAATGTATTCAAATCCTTTTAATTAAGATATAAGTCATAATGCATCCCAGTTAATATTAAGTGTACTTCAGTTCCCAGAGAGTAGTGCACCCTTGAGAAATCTGTAAAAATGTTAGAAGCAGATTAGTATTGGAATCACCTTGGGATCTATCATTAATAGATATTCATACAAAATCATAAAAACGTAAGGCAAAATTGATGTTATGTTTCCTTAAAATCTGTGAACCACTTATCTCAAAACCATGTTGTGGAAATTATTTCTAAAAATCTTGAATTCTCAACATGTCTTTTTTCAGTTTGTGACCTTCAAACAGTCATTCAGGGTAGGAGTTGATTTTGCTAGTGAATTTCTTAAAATCAATGTTAGTGACATTTTGTACCTTTGAAATGTGAGCCCTATGACCCCATTTAACAACTTCAGGAACAATTGTGACAGTTTTCCTGGAATCTGTTCAGTATTGTTATGATACGTTCCAAAGGATGACTACAGACAAGGACAAAATGATTACCTACGATACCCTGTGATGACCTTCAGATAACAGGAGAAACAAAGATAGTGACGGGAATAAGTTGATTATCTAAAACTATGACAGATTTTTTAATTTTGTACCTTTAGCTGGGGCTGTCAAACATATTTTCATAGAGTCAGTACTTAATTGTGTGATCATTTCACAATAAATGGTTGCTGTTTACAACTTAACTGTATGAACTTAGTATCAAATAATTTGTTGAGAAACTAATTTCTAGTTTAGTATATCCTTAATTAACAAACATACTTAAAATCTATTATAACTATTAAAATAATTTACTTTTTTTTCTAATAGTAAACTTGATGAGATGAGTTGACATTCATTCTCAAAACAGAATATTTGTCTCCTGAGTCTTAATCCAATAATGGGCACTCAAAAAACATTAATGGTCGCTATTTTAAGCAAACTTTTAACTTGAAAACATTGAAACCAAGCTGTCCTACATTAGTATATATAGTTAATGACAAGTTATGATTATATCAGTAATTAGGATATTTTCTATTCTTAGAAATAAAAATCCGAACATCAGCTTAATACTTAACATAATTTATGCCAGTACTTTATTGGACATAATGGACATCAAGTGAAAACTAAGGAGCTTATGAAGACATTGAATCACAGCAAGAGAATTACTTTGATGAAACTTTTGAATAATGAAGTAAAACAGTAGTATGCTTCACACTGGTTATTTGTCTGGCGAAGGTGACCATGTAGTCATTCAAACATCACACTCTATTCTTCTACTGGTTGTGTTATAAGAACTTATATTCTATTAACATTACCAACAAGAAGAAAATGTCGCTAAGTATATTTTGATCAAAATAGTCAGAAATTAAAAGTAACTTGCAGTGGCACCTCTATCTAGGAAATTGATTAAACACATTACATTTCATAAATATGACAATGATAAACAAATGGGAAATTAGAAAAGAAGCATAACTCCCCCAAAAACCTCAACGATATAACAAGTATACAACTAATCTTCTTTTGTATGTATTTGTTTTGTAAATATTGTTAATTAGAAGAAATTTGACTAAAGTTAATAAATGAACCGAACTTTCAAGACAATCATAAAACATCAGCATTTAAATATTAGTAGCAATCTGTGTGTCTACATCACAGTCTATTGGCTAAATCATTACAAGATGGAGGAGGAAAGATAAATATTTATAATATAAAGGAATCCTTTTTAAAAAAATACCCCAAAATATTTCTAAATTTAGAAAACATATGATTTAAGATTTTCATTTAAGCCATCAAATTATTGAAATGATTTATTAGGTCATCATATTAATGGGAAACTTTCATGATACTATCACCTGTGCTCCTAATCAATTCCATCACAATATTTTAGTATGTAAGTTTGAACCACGACCAATTTCCCCTTACTGACAATGTATGTATTACAGGCTTGGGCCATAGCACCTTGTCATGTATTATAAAGCAGACAGTCGGTAAAGGCAAACATTGAAATCATTCACAATAAAGTGCATAATAACTGCATTAATTAACTTGCTCATCTTCCATATGAATGATCAACACATCAACTGCATAAAGAGAATTTTTTTCAATATTAAGAGCGCTTGACTGGTGTATATTGGAGAAATGATATTGACAAGGTAACCTTGCCCTACCGAAAGGAGTTTTGATTTCATATCATAATGGTCCTCGCTTTGTCAAAGGCCAAAAGCAAAATCTCATCGATGAGTACAAAAAGGATTTCAATGCACTTTTCAAAAGATAACTTCTTTTCAGGTCGCGCTCTATAACATCGAAAGGACCCAAGGCCATGAAAGCCTATCCAGCCACATGGATTGGACATGCCTCGTTGAAATGCTTTCACCACAGACAACATTATGTCTGATTACAGGAGCATATCATGAGCAGTAAAATCCATAAATTTGTGAAATTTTATCCAGTTATTATAATCATTTGTTCTTGCCTAAGTAGCGAGTAATATTTCAGTCATCTATCACAGCGAGTTTGACATGCGGAGAAGATAGGGCGGGGAGGTGTGTTGTTCAACGCTGTCACACTGGAACCATTTAGGACCGAACAATGGCACCGATCCTTATCTTCTACCATCCCTTCACAAATTGACTGTACGTAAAAATGGCAAAATATAATCAGCTCGTCTGAAAAATTAACACAGTGCTCTCTGCTGAGCGATACAACCAAATGGATAATTAATGACGAACAGAATGTCTCCTATTAGTCCTAAAACATAAATTGATTTTTCATCTTATCCTATTGTAGACAAGCTAAAAATGGTTATGGTACAAAGATGAAAAGGTTTCCATGAAGGCCTATGAAAGGGAATTTATGGCCTTTTGGAAAAATGGAACAGTGATGTTAAAATGAGTGCAAATATTGAGAGATATAATAACTTGATAAGGAGGAATGTAACAAATATCCATAAATTTGTTATCATAACATGTTTGCAGACTTGTTAGTAACTGTTTGCTTATCTGAATACGGAATTGATGAGGTACACAGCATTTCAATTAGCCAAATCTATACTGCTCTTTTTAGCTTTGAAGATGAAATACATATAGCGTCTGTGTGATTTTTTAGTGATGATAATTCTGCTGCATGACCTCGAGACAGTGCATTTCCTAGTGATTGTCTCGCAGCCTCAGCCATTTACTGCTCGAGGCACTATATAAAGCACAGTATTAATGGGCTACAACTTTCAACATTCAAATGTTGGTAAAAACCTTTCAAAGCACCGGGGTTTGAGGGGCTTTTCAAAATCTCGTGAAATAGATAACCATTGGTGGTGTGATTGTTGGCTGTCACTCGCCAGTAGATAAGTTGGCCGGCACGTTCACATTTGATAACCACGGAAAAATTACCTCGGCACCCAAGATCTGCTATCTGATGGGAGAGCACTGTACTTGTGACATCATTGGACAAAGCCATGCTGTCTAAGAACTTTCTAACAATTCCCTATTTCTCTGCTACGAGGACATTTGGATGACAGAATATTCTGTTGTTCAAAAAAAGGGAATGGACTTCAGAATCAATATATTTACACAGGAAATGTTTTAGAAATGAACATTGTCCATCTGGTATCATTCTGCCTTCTAAGATAAAACTGTTGAGGAAGGGTTGAACTTTTTTAAATTGTTTTTAAATCATAAAAGTCATTGAGAGAAATAATAAATTTACACACAAACAAGGAAATTATTCCAATATTTGGACTATAAACGATATTGAAATTATTTGTGATTTTTTTTAATTAAATCATATCGTTTATTTATTGGTCATGTATGGTGTAATCAGGTGAGTTTTAAAAGGCCCTCCAACCTGCAGGTTATATTAAGAATTCTCATTAATATGATATCCAAAATTCAAAGTTAAGTTTATACTTCATTTTATCCTGGATAGAGTTCCAACATTTAAAAAAAATTCACAAATTCAGCAAACCCCCCATTCCTACCTGTGTTTATGAATTACATTTTTGCCAGTAAAATACAGGACTTTATCAATTTGATGAAAACTTGTATCATCAGTGGTGATACAAAAAGTCTTCTATCATCACTAGTCATCTCTGCTGCACACTTGTGAAGAAAAAAATTTTGTCAAACTTATGAAATATATATGATATTACACGAGAAACCATTAAATATCCTCATGATGTCTCTCTAATATCAATACAACCAAACTTACCTTGTTGATGTCATAAAAACGATAGCAGTCACCTGCTAGTTTAATTATTAAAGTACCTTTGATGTAAACCGGATCTTTTTTAATTCTGAATTTCATACATTTATTCTTCAGTAACACTATCAGTTATCACTTATTTTCAATGTTCACTTAAGAAATATTTTTTCTTTTCCATTGTTAACTTCAGTGTAAACAGCATTATTTTTTTTTTTACAGACATTTTAAAAGATGCAATCGTATTACTTTGAATTATCTGTAAAAATTAGCAGTTTACACACTAATAAGCAATGACAAAGAAAAATCATATCTGATATATTTACATTTTGTGTTTTTATTTATGCTAT